CTATCTATCTATCTATCTATCTATCTATCTATCTATCTATCTATCTATCTATCTATCATATTTATATAGCTGTCCATTTCACATAAGGTAACTCTGGGTGGCATACACCAATTAAAAAAATAAATACATAAAAACAGCTACATATAAAAAACAGTAAAAACAGGAGGGGATAAAATTAATAAGGGAGCCATCGTAAAATCTTGATTATGATCAATCCAGTAAATTTAACATTTAATTTTTAAAACAAGCAAAGGACACATCCATCATTGCTCTTGTTGATGAGAGGGAACTGCTGCCTGAGCAGGCACTGTGACAGAAAATCATCCGAGAAGGTCTTGCCTCCCTATATACAGAGAGAGAAATCTGCAGGGATTCTTTATGAAGCAACTTCATAGATGTGTACCATAATTTAAAAGTTCATCATACATTTTGGAAAATTTTCTGGGTCATCCCCTAGACCATATCTCATCACTTTGTACAATTCAGCTGAGTCTGCTGGGGCAGGTGGCCAAAACACTTTTAAATACATCATCATCACCATCATCATCATCAATGATAATAATAACCACCCACTTTAAAGAATGAACTAATGCTATTGCTGAATGAGTAGATTCCTTGCAGCATCTCTCTAGTTCAACACGTTTCTATACCATTGACTCCTCCATCAATACGCCTGGGCTCTAGATCATTTGCCAAGCGCACTATGTCATCATCATAGTTCTTTTCTAATTTTAAATGTGTTTTTATTTTATTTTAATAGTCACATTATGCATTTTATTACTTTTTTTTGCTACATGCTTTGCTCCTTCCTTACACAGGGCAAGGTAAACAAGATTCTAACTCTGCGATCCTACACAGGCCTACTCAAAAGTAGCAAGCACTAACCAGTTTAATGGGACTTACTTCCAAGTATGTTTGTTCAGGATTTTAGCCTATCTAATGTACCAATGAGTTCATACAGATTCATCTACCCATGAATTACTGATCCATAATTTACTCAATTAATCCCAGTTTTCTGAATCTGTGTGCTAAACCATACACCAACCATGCAGACTAGGTTTGCACAATTTGCTTGGCTAACTTGTGGTTGACTGGCTTGGTATCTCAGGTGAACTCAGCCATGGAGTTAGCCACTGACCTGAATTAACAACTTCACACTGTCTTGCTAAAACTAACAGTGCTTTTTAAGAGTTCGGCAGCTACAGTTTTTAAAATGCAGAAACTGTGGGCATCATAAATTATTTGGCATGTAAGAAAGGTTCACTTGACAGATTTATCAAGTAATTGAGCAGTCACTTAAAGGAAAAAATGTCTCCCCCAGCAAAATTTGCTGTTTAATTTGTATCCTTTAATGGAGATATCTGACTTCAAAAGTTCCCAGACAGATTTCAAATTTTATGCTACCATTCCAAAACATAACTCACCATCATTCTAATTAAAAACCTCTAATATCTTTGAAAGAATATTGGTATTAAACTTCAACTTTACCACTCATATATTTGTGTTGCTTTTAAGATATAAGGGCCAAAAGTGACAGAGAGAAAGGGAGTAAAAGCATCAGATCCCATCATATTCATATTCATTAATTGCAAAATCATTTTTATATAACATTTAAGTTATTAAAATGTAAATTGTTTATTTTGTCTGGTTTAAATCTTATAGTTTGAAGATGAAAAGACAGCATTGCAATGTGAAAAGAGTTGGTTGATTTATTTTTTTCATTATATTTTGAGCCAATCATGGATGCTTCCTCCAGGCACAAATTAAACTTGAATCCCTTCCTTACAGTCAGAAATGAAAGGGACCTGACTGTTTTGCAAACACTTTTTCATGAATAATTAGGAAAATTCTGAATAGCCTTTCTATATTGTTATTAAATAATGGATTACCTTTAAAGGATTTTAATATATCTTACTTTCAAAGTAACTAATGGGAGGAGGAATCTCAGAAGAAAACTAGATGCCAGGTAGTTTAACATTTGATCTAAGTAATTTTGCAGAAATTTACCTATTGCCCTAAACCATAAAAAAGCAAGTGACGGCTTAGTGTGAGCCCGATCAGTTTTTTTGCAAAAGGTGTATATGCATGCGACAAGATAGAAGCAGACCAGATACATTTTATACCTGTTCTTCTAATTACTCAGCACATTTTAGGTATAATAAAAATTTCTGCAAAATTACTTAGATCAAATGTTAAACTACCTGGTATCTAGTTTTCTTCTGAGAAGTCAGGCAACCTGATTAAATTTTGATTTTGAAAACGGTAGCTTAATATGATGCATGAAATATTCTATATGTATGATGAATTGCATTTTAAAAGGCTTTGTTAATACTTTGAGCATAAATTATAATATAAATAAATATATCATGACACTATTCTATGAGGTGGGGTGAGGTCGCTTCTCCTGAAAATGAAAGATCTGATTCTCATGTCATGTTAAGCCATGATTTGAAGAATTAAACACAAAGCTGGATTCACAGAGAGTGCTGAGCCAGACACCCTTGGTTTACAGACTACAATGGCTGGGTATATACACTAAGGTGAACTCAAATTATATTATGACTTAATCCAATGACCAAACCCACTCAGGTTCCTATATTTACTGACTGCTCTGTCTCAAAGCTAGATAACTTTGGGTGCACAAGGCTGCCTTTGGGGTGTACTCAGGGCCACAAAGTGCACAGAACCATATCACACAGGTGAGCAGCATTGATTAGAAGTCTCTTACTGTGTTACTTCCGTATTAGGGCCTATACTACAGTGTTCATGTATTTTCAGTCTCAAAATGGTAGGAAATTGGGCTGTCAGTACTCAGCAGTGAAGAGGGATCCTGAGGCTACATCAAATAATTCTTGCATTAGTTGTAAAGTATGCCTCTTTTTCCTTATATTGTACTCTGCTTTTCTCTTTTTCATAACCTTCTGAGTACTTGACTGAAGAGAAAGGTGGTATATAAATCACATAAATATATAGGCACAAAACCTTTTTGCCAATTCAAGTGGCAACCTTGCTATCATTCCTCACTGATGACAGTCCAAAAGGAATAATGCCATCTTCCAAAAGGCATTTTGGGGAATAAAACCGGTTGCCTCTCTTGGCCTTATGGAGCCAGTGAGAAATACTTGTAACTATGACCAGGAGTCCATCCTGTTAAATGAGATAAATTTATCCAGTTCCAAAATACATATTGTCCAATTAAATGGCATACCTAAACCAAATATTCTGTCTGACTCCAATTACCATGAGTGGAGGTGGAGCGGGGGTTACTGATACTTTTACTGACATTAGCTTTGGAATCTCAAACATCTCAAAACATCTCAGATCATTTTGTCTGGCTTTTTCCCTGAATCAAGGTGCTGTCAAGCTTGGGCTGGCAGCAGTTGCACCAAGAGTACATCCCTGTTGCTGTTGCTTTGGCAGGAATAGCATTCTCTCCACCATGTCAAGAGGCCTGCTGTCCTCTTGGCCAAGTTCACCATCCAGGCCAGGCAAAGGAGCTGCTACATTCTCTGCAGAGCAATCTCTCTGGACTCTTCATCCTCCATTGCCCAGGAGATGCCCCTGGATGGGGAACCCTAGTTCAGCACTGGCTTATCCCCTCCTGGCACTGTTATGCACTTATTATCCCCATGGTCCCAGTCTCTTCCCCAGGCTAGCCATTTTCCACCCATGGCAGCAGTGTGAGGAAGGGGAAGCTTAGGTTCACATCTTAAACTTGATTTGGGATTCCAAACTTCCATGCTTCTCCATAAATTATACTGTAACTGGAAAACATCAAATAGCATTTTTTTTTCCTGTGTGACTTATACTATATAACATATATTGTACGTACACACACACACAAACATATAGTATTCAATATATAGTATTGAAACTATATTCACGTTTCAGCCTGCTTTCCATTAAAAATAATCTGGAATTGGGCTAACTTTGCAGAAAACAAAACAAGAGCATTGCTAATGCCATTTTTATTTCTTGGCAGAATGGAAATAATTGTTCATGAAAGTTGCCTGTTGTGAGGGAATAAATCCTGCCAAATTTCAGATGAATAGTTTTAAGGGTTTTATGTTGTTATTCAACCAGAATCAAACCAAATATTCTTGTTCTGGTTAATAATAAATGCTGCCAGAGAAGTGGCCAAAATGAAATGGCAAAAAAGTAGTCTGCTTCATAACAAACCCCAGCATAGTGTGCTCTATGAGCCTCTAATTCTTAGACTAGTTTGGCTCAACCCTTTCTCATAATGCCATGACATCATAGTTATGCCCCTTGTGGACACTGGGAGGCTGAACAAATTAACATGCAGCCCTGTAGAAAGTTGCCCACCTATGCACAAAGCCAAAGCCAAACAATCCATATTGTGTGAGAACCCAGCCAATGCAGTCCATGCTCTTTTTAGTATTTAAGCAATGCTTTTCAAACCCAGAAAGTATAGTCTGTTGGGGTGGGTATGTTTGCTGCTCCAGCTTCAGAAGAAGAAGCCATACCCATGACCTTCGAAGAGGCCTTTATGCACACATAAAGTGATCCTAACTATTATTTACCTTGTTTTTTAAAGAGGCTGCTGCATACAATTTCTGTCATGGATTGAACTTTTTGCTTCTGTAGCTTTGCTGGAATGCAGGTGAAAAATTCACGTAAGAGCTGGCTGCAGATAAAAAGGATAAGATAGATCAGAATGTTTGGTAAGGAAATTGCTAAGACTTAAGATAGCCATGCAAACAGTGCGAGGAGATATCTGAGAAAAGGTAATATTAAACAGTTAATACAGATAAGAAACTATATAATGTCCCTTGTGCACAGCTAGGTAATTGGAAAAAACTTAATGAATAAACAATTAAAGGCTCTATATCTAGTTGCAAGAACGTCATGCTTTCTGGGCAAGTTTCTTATGCAAATTGTATTGCTTACTTTATGCCTGAAATTACGTAAGACTGAACCAGCAGAATCCAAATTTCTGCTAGGGGTGTACTGCAACCTACAATGTGACTATCTTAAGATACATGCCAAAGATACTGGTATCTAAATGGCCAGATGTTTCTGAACTCCAAATGTCAGCTCACCTGAGCAATCTGACATCAAACACTGTTTCTACATCTTGGAGAACAGATGGAATATACTTCAAGGCAGCCATCTGAAAGAAAAACAACATATGTGATCATCATTTCTGTGTTTCAAAAACCCAAATAAACTTACATAATTTAGAACTAGGCTTCACTAAAAACAAAAATGGGACCTATGTCTGAAAATGTCCACATGTCTTTAATAAACTGGACTCTGGAGAATATGGAGGAACCAACAATATCTTCCAGACTGTTTTTTACTGAGAAATGCCTTTCACTAACTTTTCACTTACTAATATTACAAGCCTATAACATTTCCCTAGATCTCCTGCTATTGACTCATACCTATGACAACTACTGTATATGCAGACTTAAACCTTTATCAAACTTCACTGCCAAGTCATTTAGAGACAATTCTTATATGATGAAGTGATCTTCCATATGTTCTTAACAATCTAGATTTGCTAGAAATGGTTTCTACTGTGTGGAACAGGCCATACATTTTCTACCTTTGGGAAGGTTCCCATTTTAAGGAGCTTCCTTCTGAAAAAAAAACTCTTAGAGGGCACATAGGGACAGCAGCAGTCCTGGGAATCACTTCCTATCCTGATTTCTAGAGTCTGAAGGCCAAATTAGATCACTCTAATACTGAAGCAGCTTCAGGAAGCCCATGTTCATAACAGAACTGCAAGATTAGGCAAATCATGTATGTAACCTTTTCTTTTCACCTGTATGGCTAAATGTTTACCATTAGAGAGCAATATCAATTGGGGTCTGACTTAGGGAACTTTTCTAAGAGGAATCTCTTGCTTTCCATAGGTCTCTTTGACTGTTAAATAAATTCCACAAAACTGTGAGAAAGCCTCCTTGTCTTTCAGAGACTTTTTTAACTATAGGAAACTATGTTACACATTCAAAGAAGGTCATAATATACCAACGTTCAACTGCCCTTTTTTTCTCCCCCAATTCCACCTACCAAAACACAGTTATTGCAGGGTGCAGTGTAAAAATTGAATGGATAGATGTAATCATTCCTGGGAAATGAGGAAAAGGATGCTTTATACAAGCCTAATATGGATTGTCTTCTGCCCCAAACATCAGGGAAACACTGAAGAATACCAGGTTGAACGTTGGAATTTGGTTGGGTTTAAATTCCCACAGCTGTGATGTCAACAGAGTGAACTGGCATTCAAAGCCAGTCATAATCTGATGAATGTTTAAAAAAACGAACTAAATAAAAGCAAAGAAAAAAAATAAAGCCAGTCTCTATTATATTTGTACTATGGTAGTAGAAAATAACAACCCTAGCATCAGGATACATTTTAATGGAATGAACCTGAAATATACCAATTGTATTTGCCTCTGCCTACTTTGATGCTTTAGCCTGAAAAAAAAAAATTCTCCTAATAAGCAAAGCCACTCAGAATATTAGCCATGCTCATGGCTGTTGCATATTTATGAGGGGACATTTCACTACTCCCTCTACAGCTTTAATATTTTAGCTGGTTCCATCACAACAAATTTATGACTGTAAAGGATATGTGATGAAAATTAAGACTCTCAAGTTTGGTAACAAGAAAACAAGTCTTTGTGTTCTTTTATTGTCATGCCAGCAGAACTGAAACCATGGCACAAAAGAAATAAAAAGTTCTTTTCAGTTTTTTTTTTCCCAAGAATATATTGCCCAATAATGCTGTCCAGCAGAGAAGCATTGGAAGTTGTGTATTTCCTGTGACTTCCATAGCCTATATATATTAACAAGTGTTAATGACCCACCAAGTATTACACTGCTATGATTTGCAAAGGAGAATATGTATGCAATAAACAGCAGTTGACAATGAGTTTTCCTTCCAGGATTACCAGATGTTTCTGAACACCAGTTGCAGGGGAAGAGCAGCAGGAAAGAGATATGTCTCCATCTCCTGCTTCTGAGCACCAAAATGCTGGACTGAGATGCCCCATGGCTTCATCCAGTAGGCTCTTCTTATGTTCTAACCATAGACATAATAGAAGCCACATTTGATTCCATTTCAACTCCATTTTCAAGGCATAATATTATGCACCTTCATTCCATTTGATTAAAAGAGCTAACATAAAAAGTTGTTTTTACAGTACTGCTTCACATATGCGTATGGAGCTGGGGTAAAAGAGCCGGATGAATTAAAATGTGTTGTATATTTTTATCCCATGTATCTTTCAAGAAACTTAGGGTGGTGTACGTTATGCATACCTTCCACTATGTTATCCTTATGCTGGTCTTAACCTTTTGCAGACAATAATTCTGGAGGTTGTTTGTTTTAACTACAAAACAGCTAGAAATATAAACCTCCAAAATGGTATTGTAATAAAATGCAGCCATTTACAATAAAAGTTTAAATTATTTCACAAGTGAGAAGTCAGGCTATTTAAAACTAGAAATAGTATAGAACATTAAATTTAATCAAATCGCCTTCTCAGTAAAATGCTACCTCAGAGAGAAGGGTGTTTAAAATCCATTTAAAATCCTGTAGTAATGGGGCAAAAGGAGTAAGGAAGTTTAACAGGAAACCCTAACACATAAAAAGCTCCCAATCTACTGATTTTATAGACAAGCCTCCAAGGTTGGTCTCAAGACTTAAACAAGCTCATGTGGATTCAGATAGTCCTTCAAAAATTGTGACCTAAATCATTTTTATCTTGTGTAACCTGGCCCTAAGAAAGAACAATGTCTAAAGAATCCAGAAGTTCAAATTTCCCAAAGAATAATTAATACAATGTGGTATGAATATGAACTTGAGACATGAACATGAACATATTCATTTTCATTATTACTTCCAAAATATGCCTTTTTAAAGCATATTAAAGCATATTAAAATAAATAAAGTTAATATTTATTTATTTATTTATTTTAAAAAATAATTTTACCCTCCGTTCTCCACCTTGAGTTACTTTTACTTTATGTGCCTGACAGTGACAGCGTTCTCTTCAGATCAAGAACATAAAATAATTACAATTCTTTAGAGAGGGGGAGAAATACGTAAGTGACTTTTCATGGCATTGCTAGATTCCTTTAACAAAAATATGCCAGCCAGAAGTTTCTAAAAAATCTTAAGGGAGGGGGAAATTTTAGTTCTTAGTCACAGAACTAAGATTATTTCTGCAGCTTCACTCTGCGTCATTTGCTAAGCTTAACGTTATGATTGAAGTGGTTCTTCCATCTCATTTATACCCAGTTCATGTACACGCTGCTGTGGTATTTCCATTTTTGTGTCTACCTTTTCAAATATATTTGGCACCTTATCTTTTCCCGCTGCTGAAAGCTGATATAAAAAAGGCATTTCCTTTCCTTTTAGTATCAACCTCTCCCCATCCTACCACAACAATCCTAAAATATTCATCCATAAACTGTAATTTATTGTATTTGGGCATGCTGACAATACCTCTGATTTCTAAATACCTATACCTTTAAAATCATCTGTGTGACAGCTATCAATTACTGTCTAAAGCTATAAAACCCAACTGAAAACAAAGGTTTTCGGTTGCAAAACCAAAACTGTTTCCATTCTCACTGGTGTAGAAGATAAGGACATTAATTCTACAAAAAGATTTCTTAGATACCTTTTTTTTTTTTTGCTAGAGTCAACAATAGTCTCTGGATTGCAGCTTAAAGCAAGCAAACACTGTTACATGGTACTTGAATAGCTTTTAAAAATAAAGACATCAAAAAGCAAGCTTCTTCATCCATTTTTAGCCTTGTTATTCCCTGTTTTATCACCACATATTCCAACCTGCTGATCTTTAACACTAAACTGGAAAGGTGGGATTCAAAGGTGGATTTTTTTTTTTAACTATGGTGCTCAATTATGTTACACTGCAGGCTGATTGATTGTCCAGAGCTGAGCAATGGGATTACTTGGGTTATAGGATCCCACAATGCTACCTCAAAAAACAAAATGACACACAGGGTGTCCAAAGAGATAAATCAGTCTCTGCTTAACCTGCTTGGTACTTGAGCATGTATTTTCACATACATAGGCAAAACAATCCTTTTTCAGGGACAAGTGGTAGACTCTGAAAGGCAGAACAAATTTTGAGCAGTTATAGAGCACAAAAGGACATATAATGCCAAAGTACGTATATTTACCTTGTTTCAGAGAAAGCTAGCTTTTCATTTCCTGTACCACCCTCTTCAGCCGCCTTGATCAAGACACCAATGGGCTGACTGAATTGCTGGCTGACCCATTAGAAGAAACCCCAGTGCTCCACCTATTCTGAATGTAGCATAAAGTTCAGAACTAACATTTGGAATGAAGGATTAGGAGCAGACTAACTCGCTGGATCCTGACTACTCCAAGGAAACAGAGAGAGAGGCATGGAAAGCTAAAAGGAGACCAGGAAGCAAAATTTAATTGGTATGTGTATTGTGCCAACAAATTCTACAGGAAAAGTTTAGGATATCTGTCTATGAAACTGAAGCTCAAGAGAAAGTGGGTCAGGCAGCAAGACAATGATCCAAATCACACAAGTTGTATGACCAAAGAATGGTTAAAGCAGAAGGAAGTTCATGTTTTGGAATGGCCAGTGCTGACTATTCTTATAGAAATGCTGTGGAAGGACCTGAAGCCAGTAGTTCACTGGCTGTTCTGTGAGGAGAGGAATGGGCTAAAACTCCTTCAAGCCGATGTGCAGGACTGAACAATAGTTATCAGAAACATTTAGTTGCAGTTATTGCTGCCCAAGAAGGACACATCAGTTACTGGAAGCAAAGGTTCACATACTTTTGCCACACACAAATATGTAGCTTGGATCATTTTCCTATCAATAAATGAACATGTGTAATGTTTTGGACTCATTTGTTTAATTGGGTTCTCTTTATCTAGTTTTAGGACTTGTGTGAAGAACAGATCAGGTTTTGGGTCATCTTTATGCAGAAATATTGAACATTCAAAAAGGTTCACAAACTTTTAAGTACCACTGTATGTTTCTGAATTAAATATATAACCTGAACTTCATCTCAGGTTATGGAAGTTAACAAACCCCACCCTATTTACACTTCTTCTTCTATGCATTTTTATCTAAAGCAGTTAGATGGCTGGCTGGGGAATTCCACACATCTTAAAGTTGCCAAGTTTAAGAAACACTGTTCTAAAGTATTGAAGGAAGAAAAAATAGGCAAACCTGTAATAAAATAGTTGTTTTAAGTTGACTTCTCATCAGGTTGTTGATTGACTCAAAAAGGCTCCTCATGGCTTCTTCAAATTCTGCCAGTTCTTTGCCTTCATATAATCTGAAAAGGGGGAAAAAACAGAATAGCATTTCAAATCTGAGCTTCAGTCAAACAACAGAAGGCACTGACTTTGTCTGCACTAGATATATGTGTGTGTACCTAAAAAATACTTCTAGATCCATTCATGGATCTAGCATTCCTTTTTTTTTTTTTCTTTTTCCTTCCTGTTAATGCTTTCAAGGAATTATCCCACAATCTAATTGGGTCATCTAATGCAACTTCCTGCCTGGAACACAGATGGCATCAGACATTGCCAAAACCCATCTCACAGAAGGACTGCTCTCTAAATCACTGTTTCTCAGCCTTAGCAAATTTAAGATATGTGGACTTCAACTTCTACAATTTTAGAACTTCTAGCATGCTGGCTGGGGAATTCTGAAAGCTGAAGTCCACACATCTTGAAGTTGGCAAGGTTGAGAAACACTGTTCTAAATGGATGTTGCTGACTATTCAGCTCTGAGAAGCAAACTTCTGCATTCTTGTAAAGAGGAGATAAATAAAGAGGAGATCATGCACTGTGACAAGGCATCACCCTATCCATCTGCCTCTTTAAAATCCCTTTCTGGCCAAGGATATTTTTTCTGGCATTATTGAAGCGAAAGTCAAGCAGGCAGGTCTCTGACTCATACCCAAATATATTAGAGGATAGTCTCCTTTAAAATTAATCCCATCTGACAAAAACACCCAGAAGGGGATTCTCCTCAGTTGCCTGCCTATCAATCCCTCCCTATCAATCATGGCACCTTCTGGAAAATACCATAAAACAAGTTAGATCAAACATGGCTTGCTTACTTCAATTTATCAGTAATTCAGTATGCAACTAAAGAATATTTTTGTTTTTAATTGGCATATATACAAGATTAGTTGAAAATTGTCCTATTTATACAAGTTCCATTTTTTCCTACTCATCCAATTTAATAAAGAACTAAATCCTGTAATAAAAGCTTGAATTATTGCCGTTAAGTTGACTAATGAGCTTTACTTGAAAATAATAAAGAGCTCCAATAGAAGGGAATATGTGTAGCTCAGGGTTGAACTGTGGAGTCCTTGGGATTCTCTGAGCTTGGTTGTTTTCCTGCAAACATTTTGTTACCTGGCTAGTTAACACTGGAGCCCTGAAGATGTTACCTAGCCAGGGAGCAAAATATTTGCAAGAAAATAACCAAGCTCAAAGAACCCCAAGGATTCCACAATAAGGAGCTCTCCTGCCAAAAGTTCATACTTTTGAGGGCCCCTCAAAAATC